GCTTAAAAGTGGATTAGCTGTTTTTCACGCAACAATGGCAGAAAATGCTGTTTCCAGATACTATTTTATCTGTTACATATTCTTCTTTCTGTGTCTTTGTCTTCACCACATATACCAAAGCAAATTCCTGGTATGTGTAAATACCTGGAATAAAACCGATTCTGTAATCAAATAATCTGGTTCTGATGTATAGATATTTCTTGGAACAGACCATTTTCCCTGCAATCTGGTGTTTTTTATCAAAAAATTGGCAGATCAATCTTTAAAGAAAATGATTGCTGGATGCAGTCCTAAAAGAAAGTTTTCTTTCCAGTTCTGAGATATGAAGTAATCTCTTTGTACTCTCAATTTGTCCTGCAGGCTTTGTTCAGTACCTCCAGTATTACTACCAGAGGGGCTGCTTATACCGGTTGCGAGCATTGGGAGAGAGAAATCAGCTGGACCTCACAGTGGGTAAGATGAACGCTATTTTTGGGGGCAGTCATTTCAATCGTTTGAACTCTTGAGCCAAATGTAACACCGTGTGGGGAAAAAATAGGGTAAAGGTGACGGAGACATTTGTTCAAATCAGTGTGCTGCCAAGCAGATGTAATCCGAGTAGCTCAACGAATTAGCTACTAACTAAAACCATCTGTAATTAATGACTGGATAACAACACATTGGTGGAGTGTTGTGTGTGCTTTACAGTTTTGTTTCTCTACAGAGGGATTTCAATCCTGGATGTGGAGAGGCCTCACTTTCCTTTTGCCATTCCTCTTTTGTGGCCATGTAAGTCGAGACATAACGTTTTCGTACAGCTTTATTGCTTAAAGTGAGGAAGACTTTATAATGCATTTCACACCAGCATTTATTATTTGATCTGTATTAACTGTGTAGGGTTTTCCATAACAGTTAAGAGACGGCATTAGCTGAGGAGAAATGTGTGCTATGAGAGCGTGCTGCAACATAATGAACCATTATGCTTCCTCTCACTGCAGTTTTGGCAGCTCTACAACTCACTGACTCTGTTTCGCTTGGGAGGACATGAGGACTGTAAGGAGTGGCAGGTGAGGGTCACACTGGAAGGTCCTGGGCTTAAATGTCAAGAGGCATGTCAGGCCGAAATAACAGCTGTTGAAGGGACAGTTCATCCAAATATACACGTCTATATTTATATTTGAAAGAAGGCAGTACTAGGGCCAATATTTCCGACAATGGTCTTGATTAATTAATAAGATTAAGAGTAAGATTGGAAAATATGTATTTTTTGTTTTGGGTGATCTTTATCTTTATTAGAGGAAAATGTTTGACAGGATTCTTTGTAAACTAATGTGTGCCTTTTCCCTGTCAGTATCTGACAAAAAATGTAACCTTTTTAAAGCTATTATCAGAATGGTTGACCTCTGAAGTAAAATAAAAAGATGTGCATGGAAGGTTTGTCTGTCCACAGGCTCAACTTGATTTATTTACATGACCTGTGATAACGTGTAGTGTTCTAAAGAATGTTATTCCCATATACTAAACATGTCTGAGCCCTTTCAGAAATTCAGATATAGCTTCAGTTAAAATCATAACTTTTCCTTTTTTTTCTCCAGGTAATTATGCTGTCACTGACATTCTTTGTCTTGTTCCTGGGAAATTTCTTCACCACATTGCAAGTGGTCAACAAAAAAATTCAGACAAACCAGGAGAAAAAAGACTAAGACTGAAACCTCATAGATTATTACCAACGGCCAGTAGTTTTGAAACGACGCGCACAATGGCTTGAAAGTGACCACGGCACGGTTATGCTGGCAGAAGTTGGAGCAAACTGTTTCTCTCAGGCTGGGATGGCGGCACCGTCCAGCCAAAGTGTCTGGCCGACAGGCTTCTGCTTTCTAATGAATCGTTGTCGATGTTGCTGCAAAGTCAGAGTGGTGAGTTCCACTGATATACGGACAGTTTGACTCTTTATCATGTACATAAAAACTGAGCGGGAAGACCGCTTTCATTTGGGTGTTTGTGTCAGCGCATGAATCTCTCGGAGAGCCTTTTGTTCAAATCATATGCAACTGAAAAAGGGCAGGTAGCATCGATCTACAGAACAGAGCATAGATTGCCTTTGAAGACAAAACGTCTGTCATGCACTTCATACTGACGTCTGTGAAATGGTCAAACTGTCTCTGGCTTGAACAAAATCGGACATGTTCACGCGCTGCACTTCATTTCTTGAATTAGTTTGTGTAGTTTTGAACTCCTTGTTGTGCTATTTCACTGCTAAACAGTATTTCTTACTAAACTTGTAGGTCAACAACTTAAAAAAACAAAAGTGATACCTTACTGCCCTTCAATTACAGAAAACATTGTGTCTTTTTTTCCTAAGTCAGTGGTGGCTATATTCTTGTTTTCAACTTTTACAAAAGGGAAAACAACACTGTTACTTCTCCCTTCAGCCATAACTGTGTATTTTTGTATGATGTTACACCTAAATGTGCTGCTACATGAAAACAGATGTAAAAAGTGTGTGCTGCTCCCAGTAAGGATCCAAATATGTTTTTTAAAGAACTCTTCCAAGGCCATTTATGTTCTCATTAACATAATGCTTACATTTTGATACATGGACCATTAGTAAAAACCTGATAAATCTAATGCTTCCTTCAAGCTTGATAAACATTTGAACACAGAGCTATGCACAGAGATGTCTCATTACTGTGGTAAAACTAATGACATGTCTTAGGTGAATTGAAGAAATGAATTTTGATCAAATGCTGCTATTATTGCCGGTACTGTAAGAATAAGATAACAAAATCATGATTTTAAAAGTGCTAAATTGTTTTTCTAATTCAAATCAACATCACTAAATAAAATATTTGTATGAATTAACTTATGGCAGAACCTGAAACTTTTGCTCTCATTCACTGTAATGTTTTGTTTCATGTTTGTGTAAAAAAAACAACTATAATGTTATTTTGAGCAATGTTGGGTCTATAATGCCTTATTTCCCCTCCAGCTTGTCACTGCAACAAAAGTCCTTTTTATTTTGAAGATCTAAAGATGGTAGTGTTTTTTAATGGCATTTCCCTCAACGCTATCATGCTGAAGAGATTCAAAATATTTACAAATCGCTTTTATTGAGGGAAAATGAAGTATGTTTATTCAACATGTTACTTTTGATGTAAGCGTTGCCAAGATGCACAGAACTTGATTTCCTCATTTTTATGATGTAGCTGATGTTAAACAATGTTTTCACCGTTCACTTCAAGACTAACTGGTGCTTGAGTAACGTGACCAGTAACAAATCCTCAATCTGTGTTCATTGTTGTATAAAGTATATTAATAATTAAACACCGAATCAAACATTGTTGCTCTGTCTATTTTGTTTTTTTGTGCAATGAAAATAATTCCCCCTGTGTTGGAATCGTGTAAATACCAAACGTGTTCACCCATGGCAAACATTAATTGTTTCCAACACTAGTGGGCGCTGTTGGTAAAGATAAGAGGTCTGCTTCATTTTGGCTCAGCTCCAAAGCAAATTCTAGATCAGTGTTTTGTTTTACTGGAAATGAACTAACTGTTGGGTGTTGATCAAACATGTTTTCTTAAAGCTATAGTACCATAATGTATTGCATTTCAAAAACTAGTCAGTCTGAGAATGTGTTATATACCAGCAGCTTTGAAACCAGATTCAGTAGCAAAAACATCCTAAAAGATGTACATACTTTAATGAAAATACAGGTTTTTGAAACGGCACAAAGCTTTATATTAGAAAATATAGAAGAAAAAAAAGGCATCTCGTACAAAAGTTAAAATAAATGGCATTTCAAGTTGCACACCACTTGCAAAACTCTTTCCTGTTACCTCATTGGTCATGTTCTTGTATAAGTAAAGGGCTGATGATTCAAGGGGTCACAATGTTCTCTGAGTAGAAGCTGCAACCCCCTTGTCCCTGAATGTCCAACCTTCCTCAGTGTGGATGAGAAGGTTAGCCAGTGGAGTCCTCTATTGTGTGTTTTTTACTTCACAAAACGACACAGTTCTTTTTCCTCTTGTTGTTCTTTTGTTTTCGATTGAAAGCCAAAGTCCTTTTGGTGGCCTCTCTGAAAATGTCTTCCACGTTCTCCTGATGTTTAGCCGAACATTCGAGGTATAGCTCTGCATTCATCTGCTGCCGGGTCTCCTCACCCTGGAAGCCAACATTAACACCAAGAATTAAACTATATAAGGAGCTTAAAGGAATACCTGACCCACAAAATGGCTTTCTCTTTATCAATCATTAACCTTTTGTTACCTTGAATTCTTTTAGAAACATTTTTGCATGAATAATCCATAAACCAAGAATTCTCAATGAACTAAAGTAAATATTGCAGACGTTTTTTAATAGTTTGGGTTTAGCGTAAAACTGCCAATTATGAAATGTTTTGCAGATTACCTGACTCGGATTACTCTGCATGAGTTGTGAGACTTTGCCAACTGATTATTTGATCTAGTTTAGGTAAATGTGACCCTGATTTCAATTGATCAGATTCCTTCACCATGTGAGTTCTCTTCAAGATTTAAAGGTAACACAGATTCAGTTATGGCTATACAAATGGTAATTTTGGGGGTAGTGTATTCCTTTAATGTACATTTTGAAGAGATTTGTTATTGCATTATTGCTGTTGGCAGTTAAGTGGTTTGGGTGCTTCCTGTAAACTCAAACAATAGGTCTGTTTTTAAAGGTCACTACATTGCTTCACACTTTACCTCTGTATAAGTGACGGGGACCTGATTCATGGCTTTGAGCTTCCTCGAACACTCTTTATCCTTCCTGAGGTCAGTCTTGCAGCCAATCAGGATGACAGGAGTGTCCCGGCAGAAGTGCTTCACCTCCGGGTGCCACTGCAGAAACAAAATAGGACTTTAAGCACTTGAGGCATTGTATGTGTGTTCTTTTTAACATCAGACTTAAGGTCTTCACACTTGGGGAAAAAGAGAAAGTTCTAGCACAACAGTCAGCCATGTGGGGGGCAATGTCCACATTCAGGCTCGCCCGCATGAGTTAATCATAAAAGACACTCAAACAATCATTTACTAACTGAATTTGAACAGTCAACCTGAAAGAGTAAGTGGTGAATACAAAGTGTAATGATTACCTTTATCAGGACATTCTCATAGCTGGTGGGGTTGGTCACATCGAAGCAGACTAAAATCAGATCAGCTTCTTGGTATGAGAGCGGCCGAAGTCTGTCATAGTCATCCTGTCCTAAAAGAAAGAAAGCACACAATTCATATTAGCAAATGAATGTTAAAGTTTGCACACAGTAAAAAAAACTTTCCTTGATGCAACAGCCTATACACACAGATATGATGTATGTTACAAAGTTAGCAGAGATGTCTGAAACCACATCCTGGCTTCAGCTTCCTTTTGTGCTGATGTAAGGCACCCTGCTGCAATTCTATACAAGATAGGCGGTCAGCACAGTCTGTCATGGGTTTTCCTGATAATGACTTCTAAAAACTTTTTCTCTTCACATGGGAACTTCTTGTTTTGCAGAAATGGTGTCTAGCTGGGTATTGTTTTTGAATTGAAACCGGTAACAAAGCAAAACCTTAATTCAGGTACTACTAATACAAAATGGCAAAGTGTTATTTGCCATTACAATTTCTAAAGTCATTGTAAGAACCATGCCTAACCAACATATAACACATTTCCAATATCAAATAAGAAACGTATTGACTCGTTTCAACTTTAACACTTTATTGTATTTATAGTAGAATAAATGCTATTCTGACTCTATTTTAAGTTGATGGCTAAAACTAAGTACAGTAATTCAGTCATAAAACCACATTCAAAATAACATTGAGTCTGAATTAGCTTGAAAGCTAAGCTCATAAAAGCATATTAGTCAGTTCCGGAAAGATGATGTTGATGATGCTCTGACATACATTTGACATTTACCACTTCCTCTGACTGCTAGTTTCAGGATTAAACACAGTGGGAGGAGGTCTTAGCTGAAACATTTTTAAGGTGCATATAATTATAAATATATATTTCCCCTGGCAATCTGAGTAGGTATATGTGATGTTAATCTGCTGCCTGCCCCTATTCCTAAAGTGGTCTCTTCACATAATATAAAATGTACAATCAGTGGAAAGGTAATCATGTTCAGAAAAGGAGGGGATTTTTGATAAAGAGTCTCACCAGCTGTGTCGTACAGGTTGAGCTTTATCTCTTTTCCTCCGAGAGAGATGGTTGTGACATATTTTTCGAACACAGACGGTGCATATTTCTGTTTTGACACACAAGAGAAAGATGTCAACTTTATCATACATTTGTATTATATATTATTTGCCATTTCTTCCTCTTACTGAGTTCCAACATTTCATTAGTGTTCACTATTAGAACATTTAATTTGAATTGAGATACAATTTCAACCTTACCAGCCTTAACTACAGTCAGAATAACCTATTTTTTACTAATTAACAAATACAAATCAATATCTAAAGTTGAATCCCATGACATTGAAGCCCTTCTTACCTCTGGAAAATCACCTTTAGCATAAACCATCAGAAGTGATGTTTTCCCGCAGCCTCCATCTCCCACTATCACAATCTTAAGTTCCTGTCCCTTCTTCATGGTACCATTGGCAGTCCCAGCATGGTTGTGTGTCATTTTGGCTCCCAAGAATCAAACAGGTGCCAGGCAGGATGGGGCTGAAGATATTCCCTCCAGATTTAAGTTAAATTCATGGTAAAGCCGGATGTATTTGAGAAGGCTGAGGTGATGTACAGGCAGTGTCGAGACAGAGGAACAGACGAGCCTCATGTTGTAGCTTGCTCTGTTAACCACTTCCTGTTCCTGTCACATTGAAGCGGTTAACAATTGACCCCCTACCGCGCTCCCCTGCCATGATATCATTCTGCTCACTTACAGCATCTCTGGGTACAAATATCGAGCTACACATGTGAAGCAGTGGAGTGAGGCTGCTCCTACTTCCTCTAAGTGCATGCCTATTTGCATGCCACTATCAAAAGAGGTGTGTGTGTGTGTGTGTGTGTGTGTGTGTGTGTGTGTGTGTGTGTGTGTGTGTGTGTGTGTGTGTGTGTGTGTGTGTGTGTGTGTGTGTGTGCGTGTGTGTGTGTGTGTGTGTGTGTGTGTGTGTGTGTGTGTGTGTGTGTGTGTGTGAGATAAAACTGTGAATATTCACATCTAATGCAGAAGTGAAATCAGCAGGCGGTTTTTTATCTGTGAAGTCATGAACGTATTATGCTCTGATGACAGTGCACTGGGTGTGTGCCCTGTTCCTCTCTTAGAGGTTTGTACTAGTGGGAACTTGCTTTCTCAGAAATGTATACGGGTAAAAGGCCAGTCGTTCTTCCTCCAAATGAATCACAAACAATAACATCTGAATCAGCACTTTTATTGGCCAAGTACATGTACACATATAAGGAATTAGACTTATTTTGCATTGCTCTAAAAGGCCGTAAGGCTGAACAAATTAGATAGGATTATTATTATGTACACAAATATGCAAAAAGAGATATATGGTTTTATATAAATATTCTGAACATTTATAAAAGCACCTTTTTACCAACCATTATATTTAAATAAAACGTCAATACACATGTAAAGTGCTCATAATCAATAAATGCCCCCTTATTTTTCTCAAATTCTTCAAATATTTTATACCTGGATGCCGTTTTTTTGTTGGCTGTTTGAGTTAATTTTATGATATTTAATTAATTGTATACATTGAATTTCATGGTCATGATAATTTACCTGAAATACTCTTACTTTTCTTCATGAGAAACCAAATATAAACTGAACAAAATCTTTATTTTTTGGATCCATAATATGATTATGAAACCTTCAGCAACCAGTGTGGTGAATTTTGTCATGCAATTAGTAAAAAAGCACATTATTCGACCATGTTCAATCCATGAATTTTCCTTTTATTGTGATCATTTTGTGTCCTCAGGGGTATTTACAAGCAATATGTCGGTCATATTTCTCTGTTCAGTCTGAATGGCTGAATATAGCAGTGACATCACAGATTGGGGCGTCAGGATATACTATTCTGTCTCGTCCCAGGGTGCAATGAGCGGACATCTTTATCCAGCATCAAAGTAATTAAATTAGAAAAATGAAGTGACTTGTTTGGAGATACAATTAAGACGTACAATATGTTACAATACTGTAAAGAGATACATGTACATCCTGTTTTTTCAAATGAGTGTGTGAGGCAGATGGCTGCTTTAGGGCAGGAAGAACATCTTATCAGTGGTTAAAAGATGGTTGAGCCAGATGTGATGTATCTCATGATCATGAGCAACTACACATGCTGTAATGTAATACATCCAGTCAATTTGCCTTTAAGTTACTACTGGACACCAAATACAACTGGTTGATGGGAGTATTCATGGGTAATGTGTGCAGAAGATAGTTTAACATTAGGTTTGGGAATATGTTTCAGCAAAGTGAATGATTGCTTTTACAGAAATACAGAGTGTCAGGATAAAGCACAGCATAGGGAAATAGCCTACACTCGAAAACACAATAATGTTGCATTTAAAATGAATCTTCTATCTGGTATGGAGAATTTGATCTCACATAAAATAATGATCAAAACTCAAACTGAGGTAAGCTCTTAAGTGAATTCTAAAGGTTACATTTCATTAGTCACAAGTGGGAAAATATGTAGTTTGTTAGCAAGCTGTCCCTTTAAGAGGATGAGCTGACACTGCCATTTACTTTGATTAATATAAGACATGTCATCTTTAATGTATTTTCCCTGAAAACACACATTTACAGCCAGAAAGGGAATTCCACCTTTTTATTTGGGAATTTGGTCCTACAGTTAAGACACCCTGCAGTATGGTTGGTGATTTTTGTGTAGCCCATTTTAGAGAAGTATATGCATCTAATTTAACATGACTGACTTAAATGATGTTTGTAAGATGGGCCTTAAATCCTAATAAGTGGAAACAATTGCTATGCATAATACAAATAACAGCAACTTGCTTGAGTTTTGACACCAATAAAACATAAAAAGTGTTTATACTATATTTATTAAAAAATCTCACACAGACATAGTATTATATTGTCATTTAAAGTTACAAAGCATGCTGTAGAAGGTTACACTAATAATACAGTAGACATGCAAATAATTAAGAGCTGGAAAGAAGAAAAGACAATGATTTGAAAATAATTAAATACAGTACCACGAATGAAAAATCCTTGAATAAGCCAGTGTAAAAATACACAAAGCACAGAGGATACCTGATTTGATTCAGTCAACAATCCATCAGAAGCCCATAAAAGGCTGGGCATACAAAGAAAGATAGAAAGAGTCTGCCAGGCTATTCTGACTCCACAGGATTAGACATAATGAGACGTTCTCATGTGCCCTATATCCCACAACACGGTCAAGTGTAATCAAATCTATAACAAATTACTGTAGAATAATAATAATAATAATAATGATAAAAAAGAGTGCTTGTTTGACTTACAAGGTGAAACTGGCAGCCTAAGATATTCAGTACATGACTCACATAAAAAAAGGTATTAAATTGTCCTGTAGGTGTGTAAAATATCCATACGTGTATAGCCCATTTTCATCAATTAATAAACCAAGATCAATTGTCAAAAGTAGTTTTTCTCGCCGTGCAAAGAGACAGCTGTCCTGCAGAAGAGAGAGGCCAATCCTCTGTGTGGAATATTCCAGTCTGTCAGCGGCGCGCAAAGCTGAATGGCGCAACCCACCAGGGAGTTTTTTTTTTTTTAAACAAAAGGCCTATAAATAACCTCATTGGCTGTTTTCAACGCAAAATGTTCACCTTTGTTACACACAAACATAAAACCTTCTTCACTATTCTGTCTCCATTTGCACTGGGGGGTGGGGTGTAGAAATAAAGCAGGGTTGGACAGAGAGGAATGCTGTCTGCAGCCTCGTGACCTGCAAATGCGCGCACTTGGCAGCCCCGAGCTAGGAGTGAACAAGAAAAACAGGCCTCCGACACACCGACTAGTACTACATTATTGTGTGTTCTCATAAGCAAATAGACACACCAAAGGGGAGGGCGTAAAAGACGCTCACGCACCAGAATGGAGTGCGTAAAGGGCACATTAGTGACGCAGCTAAATACATCGATTCTAAAATTGAACTCCTCTGCCGATTAAACGATAAAAATCGCTTTTTTTGTTTGTTAGTTTGTCCTGCTCTGAAGCACTGAAACGCCCGTTATCCTCCGGTCTTTGTCTGAAGCCATAGTGCACGTACAGAAGCCTCCTCCCCCGTGTTATTCCACTGCTGCAGTGGATTCCTGATGACCTTATATGGCAGTGTGGGGGAGCAGCAACTCGCTCGAGCTCCCATGGCAACCGTCCAGAGCTCTCGGATTACATGCCGCTGGCAGGGCGAGGCAGCCCGGCAACCACTCAGCCTGATCACGCCACTTGTATTACGTTTCCTTCCATTAAGTCTATTTTACTTCTTCTTATACATACAGTACACCCGTAAAAAAACAACACTCCTTTGTACAATTTTGTGAGACTTCCTGTTGCATCACCGAGAAAAAAAACCTAAGCTCCCTCTCTGAGTACAGCCTCCGAGCCTCTCCCAGTTATGGCGCAGCAACATTTAACAGCACAGCGCTCTCCTTTGTCTGTAAAGAAGCCATTTTGAGACAAGAGAACAGCAGAGAAACCATTGAACAAGTGTAGCCTGCATAGGCTACCACCAAAAAAGGTGTTTTTGGACAAAGGCAAGCAGTTATATTTAGCAGATTTCGCTCCCATAACATTCCTTTGCTCGTTTAAGCCTTGGATTACATGTTTTGAGTTCTAACTGTGAGTTTACAATTAATCAAACACATATGGGTTACAGTTCTTTTTTTTTTACAAAAGTATATAAAATATATTTTTGCTGGAAACGTTGTAACCACAGTTAGGCTATCTATTGTGCAGGTTGTCTTTCCTATATAATGACAGGCTACATTTAGTTAGACATGTTACAAACTGTCATATTAAGAGAAATAGCTCAAAATCCATTACCTTTCAAAAACAACATTTCCTTGTGGTTAAACATGATGTAGCTCTGTAAGAAATGTCGAAATAGAAGAGGTTATACTTGACTGCAATCCTGTCTTCAAGGAGAGAGAGAGAGATAGAGGAGATGGTTTGCATATTGCCCACACAGATGATGCTTGAAGATGCATTTTCGCTGGCCGAGAGGCAATGCCTAGCACTGATCAAAAAGTTTTCAAAAGAGCTCTCCTCTATCTTTCGTTGCTAATGGATTCCTTCCTTTTCAGGAGACGCTATCCCACCCCTTATTAATGCCATTATTAGAGGATCCGAAGATGGAGCTGAAAACGTTCCTCCTATCCCTGCGTTTAGGCCTGTTAACTGCATTTCACCAAAGTGCTGAGGTAAATATTTTCACCATAAGAGTTTTCACTCCATCTGTTTCCTCTTAAGTTTTTTTTTTAAAAAGCGTTTTTTTAAGTAAAAAAAAAGACGCTACCTTACTGGGCTTGTTAAGACATTTTAAATGCACCCTTGATGCAAGGTCAAGCCGACGATTACACTTTGGACGCATTTGCTTCTTAAATGGCAATTGGACAGCACAAACCTAATCGAGCTTGAAGTTGTCTCCACAGCTGAAGGAAGGGTGCAACACACCAGGGTTTTTAACCGTTGCTGTTGTGAGAGGAAAGTGTTTAAAGTCATTACTCAAACAAAATAACGTAAAATTCAAATTTGAAGGCAGCACAATAAACTGTTAAGCAACAGGCCATTAGTTATCCGTGGCCTGCTCTCTGTCATCTGAGGACGAGCAGTATATAAACTGTATTATCTATATGTCAGCATGCCAGTGAACATATTAAATAAAGTTGTAGAATACAAATGCCAACATTTCTGTGAGTAAATTGATAGCTCAATCAATACATTGACAGAAACACTTTTGATAACAGAAAATGCATGCCTCACATTTTACATTAGCCTTCTTTTAAATTTTGATAAAAAAAGTTGAACTTACTTATTGCTAAGCATATCACAAGGCCATAAGTGCATTGCCAGACACATGGTCACTTTAACTGTGTTTCCCATTAACTTAACATCTCCAAATATCATACAGCTGTTTATTCAAAACATTTGGTTTCTTTTCACATAAGAAATATAAATACTAGTATATGGGTGTGCCATGACCTAGTTAAGACAAAGATGGATTCCAGGCAGAGGAAAAAAGGCTCAAGATGTCACAGGGTATTACATCCAGTACATAATCTTCCTTCTTCTCAATCCTTTAAAAGGAGGTATCATAGTTTTATCATAGTCCGTGAGAGATGAGGAAATCAAGTGTAAGATCCCTTTTGGAACAAAGGAAACCCATATAGGCCATTGAGTCCTGTTTTAGGAAAATGGCTGCCGATAGCGCTCGGCCCCCTCTCTCTGCTCTCTGTTGAAGGACTCCTGAGCCGTGCCTCTAATAGCAGACAGCTCCTCTGCTGCTGCGCTCTGATTGGCCCGCCAGAGCTGCCGCTGTTAACCAGCCAATTGCCCGATCACTGCAAAACACCAAGCAATGTCAAACTAAATCCACTTTAGGCGACAATATAAGTCTCGCAAATGGTATTAAAAAATGAAAAGCGCTATGATAACACATATAAAAGCTCCACGGGTTGTTAATATTTGTTTAAAAGCCAGCACGTACCACAACGGTTTGGCACTAGTTTGTTGGTCTGGATTACAAAATTGACACAACGTAACACACCGCCGCATTCCAACGGATATAAACGTTAGCCTCGCAATTAACTTCAACGTTTTATCAGCCAAGTTTTGTGTGAGACATGTCCCATTCGCTGTCATCTTCTGTCTCTACATCCGCGGAGTCCCCATGTGTTTGTTTTCCTTCACATATATAGTCCGATATGGTTTAATTGTTCAACGACTACACAAAAACCTTCGTCCAAATCCTTTTTAATGGCCTTTTAGTGTCAGTTGAGAATATTGCCCCTGTGTCTATCTTGTGTTTGCCATTTGGGTAAATACAGTCAGCAGATTCGACACAAAATGGTTTAGAGGTTTAGAGACACAAGGCAGTTACCGGTCATATACTAATATATATAAATGCATACGAACGTTTTTGACTGTGCATTTATAAAACATCCACATTTTTTTTAGAAATCAATATCATTAAAAAATAACCCGTGGAAATAAAAAATAAAACTCTGGCGAAAGTGCGGCTAGCATCAGCGTTGGGCAAGCCTAGCGGTGTATTGTGGGAGAGACAGAAGCTACAGACCAGAGGCACACAATATGTGTTGGCTCTCGCCGAAAAGGAGGCAGTATTCTTCAAGCTAAATCATGTAATGTAAGCGGCGAAAGGAAAGCGATTTCGTCTTTTCATCAATTAAAGAAAATATCTCGATCGGACGAACCATGTCCAAGCCAGGGGAGAAATACAGATTGAACGAGGACCATGGCAGAAAGCAGAGTTCAAGTAAGCTTGTTCTTTTTTTCCTCTTTCTCCAGCCCTCCTAAAGCCTGTTTTCCGTAACTGGGATACACGCTAGATCCCGTTTCTCTCACTTAGGCTACCTTAGGTTACCCCTACCACCAAAGCCATGCATTTGTAACGTTTGTCTGGTTTAAAGTGTTGGGGGCTGGTAACGGGACCGTGTTTAAGCGTTGGCTCACGATAGCTCTTCTCTCCCTGTCGCTGCCTGTCGTTTCAGGTTTGGCGAACGGCATGGACAGTCATCCCGGCTGCGGCTCGGCGGAGAAGCGGGGCCACCACTGCAGAAGTTACAAGTTGATCATCGACCCGGCGCTGAAGAAGGGATCCCACAAACTGTATCGTTACGATGGGCTGACTTTCAACATGCCCGTAAGTGGAACGTATTTGACGCGGCGAAACGGCTACAATAGGAACAGAGTAGCCGACCTCCATGATAAGTTACAATGTGGTCTGTGTTGACCGGTGTGTTCCAGCATCTTGCACGGAGTTGTTCATTCACACTGGTTTGTGTGAAACTACTTTGCAACAAGTTATTGTAAAGTTTTAGATTAGATGGATAACATCATGCGTTTCCCCCTCCTCTCCTGCAGAACCCCGGGATGCCACCGGTGGACATGGTCCGAGACCCGAGGATCGGTCGTCTCTGGACTAAATACAAAGAGACCGACCTCCCGGTGCCGACATTTAAGGTACAATATCTGAAAGAAAGCACGATGCCAGTTTTCCTTGAGGAAAAGGGTGACTGTCAAAAGTTTTAGACACACCCCCCTTGCTCATCTCCTGGATGTCGGGGGAAATTATGATGTTGGACGGGCTGTTAAAACCAAAATAACATGCACAATCTGATACGTGCAGTGGGCTTACTGGATCTGCATGTTAATCGCAACTACTCTGGCACTGTTGTTCTTATCTCAGCTGTCCGAAATTGCCCCACATGGTGCAACACGAAGCTCTTCTAACTCCTCTCATTCTTCTTCCAGATCGATGAGTGTTATATCGGCGCTGTGCCTCCCAAGGAGGTGACATTCGCCAGGCTGAACGACAACATCAGGGAAGGATTTCTTAGCGACATGTGCAAAAAATTTGGAGAAATCGAGCACGTCGAGATCTTGTACAATCCGAAGAATAAGAAGCACCTGGGGATTGCTAAAGTTGTTTTTGAGAACGTGAAAGCTGCCAAAGTGGCTGTGCAGTCGCTTCACAAGACGTCTGTTATGGGAAACTTCATCCACGTGGAGCTGGACCCGAAAGGTAAACAGTGATTCAGTCAGTCTGATGAAAAGCTGAGTAACCCACATTTTGCACGAACGAGCATGTTCTCTGCACCAGGAGAACACCACATGTATTTAAAAATGTATTGTTGCCATGTTTTAAAAATTATTATGACAGCAGTCACGTGTGTAGTGTGTTGTGTTGGGATAATTGAATTTCATTGAATGTAAGCGGCTCCCACAAGACCAGCGCTGACGGTGCTGTGTACTCCCAGTGTGCATCATTTCAGACCTGTAAACAAACAAACAGAAAACAATCAGTCAGAATTCTCTTCCCACTTCATTTACTTCCTAAGTGAAATCCCCTTTGAGTTTATAAGATGATCTATTTGCTTCTTATTAATGAACAACAGCCACTTTTAACTCCTTTTAAGACAATACAGTATTTATTGTTTGACTGGCAACCGTTTTAAATCTGGGTTGAGTTAATCTGCAAAATACTGACTGATTTTAATTACAATGTGTATAGTTTTTTCTTGCCTACACAAGTGCTTATCCTCTTGAATTACTCCCACAAATGTATCTTTTTCTTTTTTATAGTTAAATCTATTAAAACATGTTTGGGCCATTTTATTATAGCATCAACTGCATGTGTTACTTAAAGAGTTTACCACATAAACCTTATTAATTGTGTTAAGATTTTCAGTATACCATGGATACCACTTTTTGATATTAGTTTGTAATGCTCCTGTGTGCTCGGGAAAGGAAACGGCATGTAACTACAAATGTTTACATTTTGGTTAAGTTTAAGATTAGTTGGAATAAAGCATGCTGGCATTAGGGCCTGTTTTATAGGTTTGGCCTCATACCCATGCATGTTTTCTAATCTGCAGGTGAGAATCGCCTCAGGTACTTCCAGCTCCTGATGAATGGCAGCTACACCCCGCTGACCCTGCCTGTTGGTGGGGAGGAGGTCAGAGAAGTCTCCCCTCGCAGCCTGGCAGAAGCCTTACTGGTAAATACTTGTCTAACAATATGCAAAATATTTGTTTTAGTGGTTTTGTTACATTTGTTTAGACTTATTCAATGACATAGTACATTCTAGTGAGTTGAAGTGTTGCTGAATAGAATACAAATACCAACCTTAGCTGACATCCTTATCTGTAATCCATGTTATCAGTGCAGCAGGTGGTGGAGTAGAGCAGAGGAAATGTTGTCCAGAGCATTGCCTGTGGACTGAAATCACAAAGCCACTGAAACATGCACTTTGGCCTCTTAGCACAACATCCCCCAGGCATTGCCTCGATGCTCTTATTCACTGTCTGCTTTATAAAAGAAAGCAGGAGTACACACACCGAGAATTAACATTTGGCAGAAATCGTCATGAGTGCATTTCCTTTCATTTCAAACCTTTATTTAACCAGATTGGTCCCTTGATATCATAGATCTCTTTATCAAGGGAGACCTGCAAATGTACACACAGTATCTTTAAAGTAACAACCTAATTACCTTTATCGTGTGTTTTGATGGTAGTGGTGTTAATGTTCGCCTGTGCTCACTGATTAATCCCGATCCCATTTGTCTCCTCTTAGGCCTGCGAGCCCATCCGCAGGTTGTCGGAGAGCAGTGTGTCTGCTGCTGGAGGAGCGTTGCCACCCAGCAGCTCCACCACTCCTCTGTCCCAGGAGACGGGCTACTCCAGCCTGAGACAGGACACCCCCCAGTCCCAGGGAACCCCTCACACCCCTCGGCAGACTGGCACGCCGTTCTCTCAAGACTCCAATTTCTCCAGTCGGCAGTCCACCCCGGCGTACCAGTCGAGCCGGGCCGAGAACTCCGGAAGTTACAAATCTCGCAGACATGAGAGTAAGTTCCAGGATGCGTACAACCGCAGACCGGAGAGGCCTAAGTACCGCAGCAACATGTTCCGGGGTAACGCGTCGGATCAGGCTCCCTTCAAACAGCACCAACTCACCCCACCTGAACCTCCACCTTCCACCCCCACCTTCGCATACACAGCGCCTCCCCCTGCTACGCCCAACTTCAAATCCGCTTTCTCGCCTTATCAGGCTCCTTTGCCCCCCGCGTTCCCCCCGTCGGAGCCTGCTTTCCATCACCCAGCCCAGAGGGAGGGGGAGTACCTCCGACCTCCGCAGCCGCCTCCCGCAGCTGCCACTGACTTTTTGCCCGTCAAGGAGAGGCCAGAAACTCCTCCGATCCCAGAGCCCCCGCCGGAGCCCGTTCCCCACCCGACCACCCCTCCTCCTCAAACCCCAGAGCACTGCCCCTCACCTGGCTCCCCCACGCTGGACCTAGAGCGCAATAGCCTGGATTCTCGCATTGAGATGCTCCTAAAGGAGAAAAGGACAAAACTGCCGTTCCTGGAGGAGCGAGACTCGGACACTGAGGTGCGGATGGAGGGGAGTCCCATCTCCTCCTCGTCCTCTCAGCTATCCCCAATTCCCCCTTACACGGGGGGCAAGCAAAACTCCCGTCCCTGTAGTACAGGCCTGGAGGATATCAGCCCGACCCCACTGCCAGACTCGGAAGATGAAGAGCCAATTCCCGGAACTGCCTCCCTGATCAAGAGAATCAGTTCTCCTCTCCCGGAGAAGATGAGCAACAGTGACCTCAACGATAGGCATTTTCGATGCCACACTCCGACTGATCAAATGGAAACGGTAAGACCTATATTTTTGACTTTCTATTTACATGAAACGTATGTGTACATGAAAATAAAAATATGCATGTATTCATGTGGTTACATTACACAGGAAGAAGCACAACAAGTTGTCAAGTGTAGCTCAAATGAGTTTGTATTGATAGCCTTGGTTAGTTGATAAAGACACGCTGCTGGTGTTTACTCACAGCTGTGACGGTTACATCGAGGACACAGGAAGTGATGTCTAGTTTCAGTGCAGGTCGGTAGTAGTAAACTCTCCCTTTTGTTTCATTTCTATTTATTATGCCTTGGAGAGGAAGCTCTAATCCCACAGCACAGCTATCTGTGTATGACGGCTAAACAAAAGAGTTAACCCACTGCTGTGTGTTTATTTATTGTAGAGTACATTTATGATCTTTATATTAATAATAGGTACACCATGAAAGACTTCCTTTTGCTAATAGTCATACAAATGCTATCCTCCTAATATGTTTATAAAAAGTCAAAATTACCATCACCACAGGTTAAAAGTTGTCATAAATTATGAAAAATGTTTCTCAAACTTAAATACCTTCACATTCATAAGAAGCTGCTTCCCTTGTTTTAAAGTCATTGTAACACCATCGTTTGAAAGGAGAAATAAGAGCAGTGCTCTGCTGTTGGAGAATTAACAACTCTTGTTTCCTCTTTCTAACACTAACCACACACTCACACGGAGGAAAACACAGTTTGGCAGTTAGCCCCATTCAACACAACACTTCCTGGTTCTGCAGAGCCTGACAGTCAGGATTGGCTGCAGCGTCTCATGTCTCACATTTCTAGTTATCACAAAGCAAGCATGGCAAACAGGTCATTTGTATAACATCGCCACTCCCATGCTGAGCTTACTCTGCTTAGTTTCATCCCTGCAGTTCTACCAGATATCCTTTTTATGATAATGAACAGCAGGAAATGGAGTAAAATGCTGATTTGTTCAATGCTACAAGTGTTGCATTCACATCCTCAATTATGGTTTAGGAATGAATAGTTTGATCACGAGGGCAAGCAGCTCTCTTTGGAAACAAGTTGAATAACATGGGTCAGCCTGCTAGTTGGAAAATACTAAACTTTGAACTCAGAACAGCACATAAATAAATGTGTGCTCTTATCTTGAATTATTCACTGGTCAGTCCTAAGGGCTGCTGAACTACTATTACTAATACTACTACTACTACTACTACTACTACTACTACTACTACTACTGCTGTAGGTTTGTTTTGATCAGGGTATGATACTAATAAAATAAAAAAACATTTTATTCAGGCACAGTTATTGTAAGGCTGCTTGCATTTAAACATATTTTATTTCTCAAAGTAAAGCATCCAAGAAAACAAGATTGCTTTGGTATGGTTTCTAAATCTCAGGTATTATATCATAACCATTTTAACGAAATGTCAAACTATACCCATTCAATTATGATCAAGCTAAAGGGGCAGTTTGACAAAAAAAATCTTGTCTCAAGGTCCACTCTGAGCTTTTTAAGCCTTATCTCAAAGTCTTCACGGCACGATTCATTCAAAAGTCTTGAAAGTTCTCAAGGTTAGGAAAATGCTTTATTTCCAATATCAACTTATGTTTCATCAACACTTATTTATGTAAACTTAAAATATTTGTATATTTGAAATGAAACAATCTTGTTGTCTCCTGGCGTCTCAAATCAGACAGAGCAGACCCTAACCCTGAATGAGAAAGTAAAAGAGCTGAATTTGCCATGACAACTTGACTTTCTAATGTAAAACATATCCAGGGATAATTTAATCATTTGGTTCTCAAGATTCTTTTTTGCAATCGGTCTCCAGATTGTTCTATCACTGTACTCACTGGTAAATGCAAACAGGTTCACTGTATTTTAAAGGACTTTGACACAATTTAAGATGTTTTGCACTTGTCATTCAAAGCTATACAAGCAGATTCCCTTACTCTGGAATTTAGCAAGAATTTAATAATCATGGCCAATTTATGCAAAGTTAATATGAACACCTGGGAAAACAAACAAAACTGTCGATAGACATTGATTGTTGTGGGTATAAACAAATCCTGTCAACTTAGTTGTATTGCATTTGCATTTATATGAACCCTTACATGAGGTAGCAAAGGCTTATAAAGTGTCTTTTTTGAGTGCTTGAGTTTTACTCTTTGAAACCTGTAACAAACACTATCAAAAGTGGAAGGGGTTTGCTAAGTGGTCAGCTAAAGATTTGAACCTTGCATAGTGCTGACCGTCTCTTCCTTTCCTCACAGGGTCACCAGTCGTCAGGGGAGGACATGGAGATCTCTGACGACGAGATGCCCGGGACCCCCATCGAGGGTGCAGAATGTAAAGGCATCGTCATGAACTCTGCTGTGTCGGAGATGCAGACCATCGCCCTCCCTCCGCCCTACCTCCAGCACCAGTCCGGATACCAACTCTCCCATCACCACCTGCCGCCTCACTCTGCCGTCCCGGGACACCCTCACCTCACCGGTGTGCCTCACCACATGCTGCACCCCATGGGCCCCTTTGCTCACAGCATGATGCCCCTGGTGCAGATGGAGCTGATGAACTGCCTGCGGTGGGAGCAGTGGAGCACCGTGCCCATGTCCTTCCAAATGCAGCAGCAGATGTTGAGTCGCATGGCTCAGATTCGAGGACCCTTTCCTTATCCACACTATATAGACAGTGGTGCTTCGGGGCCGTACGCTGCACCCTACGTGCCTCTGTCTATGGGTGCTACGCCTGCTAGCGATGCAGCAGCAGCAGCAGCACCGGCAGGACCCGGACAGGAATGGCAGAATCCCAGTATACCAAAGTTTAACCCTACTATTCCTCCTCCTGGATATGATACTAAAAAAGAGGACCCCCACAAGGCCACTGTTGACGGTGTGCTGCTGGTCATTGTCAAGGAGCTGAAGGCCATCATGAAGAGGGACCTCAACCGGAAAATGGTGGAGGTGGTGGCTTTCAGAGCCTTTGATGACTGGTGGGAAAAGAAGGAGCACTCGGCAAAGGTACTTAACATTTAATACAGAAGCCTGTATCCACACACGCAATCTTTGGTTAAACAGACTGATAATGTCTAGGTCTGCATCTAATGATTGTTTTCACTATCCATTAATCAGCCGATATTTATTTCATTGTTAATTGACTAACAATAGAGATCTAATATAAATGACAAATAATAATACAACAATCTTTCTAAGTAGTTTAGCTTTGGCTGAGTACTATTCCATTACATCTACATCTGAAAGAATTTAATGAATGAAAAAAAGTTCAAAAAACATTTTGAAAAGTGGGTTATATACTGTCAAATAGTTTGAAAAAAAGCTAATGTTGTAAACGCATTGTGATGATGACGCTCTGATCAAAGAGTGTGTGATTGTTATAATCAGTTGATTGACATTTTCCAATGATAAATATTCACTGGTTTCATATTGTTACATGGGAGGCTTTCTTGCTCTTCACCCTTTAGCATCGTATCACATTTAAACGTCTGGGTTTCTTATCATTTAAAATGAATAGGGAAAAATAATTGACTGATTAACTGATGATGTAAATAACCATAAGCAAGTGTTTCATTATATTGACCTGGAGGCCATTTTTCAGTATAATACAGTAGATCTTTGATACAATTACTACCCAGCTTCATGTATCATCTCTTCCCCTAGGTATCTTTGACTCCAGTGAAGGGTGTGGAGGGGAAGGAGGAAGAAAAACCCAAACCTAAAGAGACGATGGGTTCAAGTCTGCTGGAAAACTGGAACAAGGGCGAGGGGCTGGGCTACGAGGGAATGGGCTTGGGAATCAGTTTACGAGGGGCCATCCGCCTGCCCTCCTTCAAGGTAAGCCTGACATGTCTCTTTTAGTAAACACAGAGAAGAGGGCGGCTCCTTTTCTGCCCCACCAGGTGCTCTGCTGGTGTTTAATGGCTGCATGTTGTGTTCAGGTGAAGAGGAAGGACCCGCCTGACGCTGCCGCAGCAGGAGACAGCAAGCGAGCCCGGCCCTCCACTCCAGTGGATGACGAGCTGGAGGATGAAGGTGACTCTCTCTTTGGTTTATACACTCCCACTCAGTTTTATATTATAAAAATCGGCCGTAGCTAATTTTTTTGTTATTAAAGTTTTTATTTATGAACATACATGGTACATAGCTCACATGGTACAGCATACAGAAAGAGGAAGGTCAGTTAGTTAAGTGTTCCTGGTTAAAAGAAAACTGAAAAATACAAAGTTGTAAGATTACCAATCAGACACTACAGCGATCATAAAATAAAATAATAACAGCAAATGATGCTTGATTAGAATAATTGTACAAAGTCCCTTTTGTGAGAGTCCTACAGTCAGGCTACTAGTTAGAGGTCAGGTATTCCCAACTTCCTAGAACCACAGGTCCTCTACCCCTCATTCTCGCCAACATAACCTCATGATGCTGTTACACTCATCAGAGCCTTCCATTCGTTAAATATGCTTTTCAGTGTCTCGATATCATTCTGGCAGTAGCTAATTTATCTTGTGTCTTATTTTATTCAGACCGGGATCGAGACCAAGCCGAGCTCCCGAACGACGATTCCAAACTGGACGCCGATTCTGCAGTGGCGAAGAGACGGCCCTCGAGGCCACTGGAGCTGGACAGCGAGGGAGAGGAGGAGCTGGACACCTCAGGGAAGGAAGAGGAGTCGTTGTCTGACAGGGAGGAGGAGCCTGAGGAAACTCAGGACGGGCTGTCGTCAGGCAAAGTAAGCCCTTAAATATTAGCTTTGACTGTGTATGTGTTGGATTGTTCACATTATGTAAATTGCATATTTGTGCGCTTGCTCATCACTGTGATCGTATTTCAGGCGAGTGGCGATGAGGAGGGTGATGATGAAGACTCTTCCAGTGAAAGCGCTTCCTCAGATTCATCTGATGACGGTACTTTAAATATCAACCTACAACAGTTGGTGGTTTTATTTCCCCCCTGTGTATTTCCTGTAAATCAGGATTTCTTCTCCCTGATTTCCTGCAGAAGCCGCGAGCTCTGCCTCCTCCAAGGCCAGCTCCGTCTCGTCGGCTGAAAGCGCAGACTCCTCTGAGTACGAGTTGAGCTCAGAAGAGGAGGAGGAAGAGGAGGAGGAAGGGGATGAGGTGGTGTCAGCACGAGATTCGGAGGCTAAAGGCAAAGTGACCTCTTCCTCCTCTTCGTCCTCATCAACATCGTCGTCTGATGAAGAGGAGAAGGCAGAGACCAAGGTGCCAAGCTCTCCTTCGGGGCCGCCGCCAGAGGAGAAGGAGGAGCGGAGGAGCAAGGAGGAGCTGAGCAGTAAAGTCAAACGCAGACCCCCCAGTCCTGAGGAGGAGGTGACGGAGGACCTGAAGCCACCCTCACCCAAAGGTGAGCGTCTGCTACATTATTCTGCATGTATTCTTTTAGCATTCATTTATGACAGATGTTACATTTAATTATAATTTTATCTTGTAGTCAAACAGCAAGACATTCCCGTAGTGAAGTCTGAACCTCAGGAGCCCGTAGCAATCCTTCGGCCCCCGACCCCCACCGGGGCCTTGCCCGACAGCGACCAGGAGACGAAAGCCAAAGGTAAAGCAGAGCCTGAAGAAGTACCCTGCACCCCGGGTAGATTACCCCCATGCCCCGTAGATGCTAACCGACCCCTCCCCAAATCTGTCTCCGCATCTGTAATGCACCTCCCTCTCCCTCCTCTCCCGGCAGTAGAAGGTCGTTCCCTTCTCCACCCTCCCCCTGGTCCCCTCCCTGACTTCCCCCAGCGGCCCAGGCTCCCCACAGATGAGGACCTCCCCCGCACGCCGGGTAGAGACCTGACGGAGCGGTCTCGAAGTCTGGGCAAGTCCCAGAGCACAGACACGATGCCCAACACCCCCGGCAGTGAGGCCCCCCTGACGGGCAGCAGCCTGTTGCTCAGCTCCCCTCACATCCCCGGTAGTCCCTTCTCCTACCCTGCACAATCCCCCGTCCTGAGTGTTGGAGTCCCCCGCACTCCAGGAAGAGATTTAACCTTCACTCCTGTCTTCCCTGACCCCACAGCACTGACTTTCAATAGGAAAATATCCTCTGAGAGCCTGGATGACAGACCTGTTTTCAAGGAGCCCCCCGTCAGCGCCCTGCCCAACCAGTCGGCAGAGCTTTCAGCCAGAGTCCCTGAAGACCTGCCCGCGGGTCTCACCGTGGACGTCCCGGTGCCATCAGACACCACATCATCCAAGAGGAAACTTGGTCGACCCAAAGGCAAGAAGACCTTCTCTGAGTTGTCAAATGATCATCTACCCCACGATGCAGATCTGGGAGATCTATCCACACAGACGATCACGGCCCACTCCCCTGGCCGGCCGGGCCTGATCTTCCAGGAAGAAGACGTGAAGCCTAAGACAGTCCGGCCTTCCACAGACAGCTTCTATGAAGAAAAACCACCAATGGTTGTGAAACCTGCGCGAAGGGCTCGACGAGGCGAGGGGGAGCTGCTGCTGGAGACCCTGTCCCCCGTCACCTCGCCCCCCCGGCCGTACTTCAGCCCGCGCTCCGAGTTTGAAGAAATGACCATCCTGTACGACATCTGGAACGAAGGCATCGATGAAGAGGACGTACGGCTCCTGCAGATCACTTACGACAAGATGCTCCAGCAGGATAACGGCAACGACTGGCTCAACGACACGCTCTGGGTCAACCATCCTGATATCCTTTCCTGCTATGGTCTGTTTGATATACTCCAAATGTTAATATTAATAACATTCATCTATATTATCTTTCATTTAAAAATTGCTCCACAAAAGTTTTTAAGAAATCAGTCCAGCTAAATTACACTTCAAAAGTGCATTCATTTCTTCTTTAAAAGTTGCTTATTAGACTGTGTTTCACATAGCAGCCCCCTCTGGTGGGCAAAACATGAACTTTATTCATATTCAAAGGTTTTATTGTCATATGCACATAAGCTACAGTGTAGAAATGGCCTTTAAATTCTTATGACCTGAGCTCCTCCAACGATACAATATATATAACAAAATACAAAAATAAAAATTGCACAAGAAGTCTATATACATATAAATAGAATATGATATATACAAGTACAAAATGTAAATATTGTACATTAAGACAAAATTAAATAGGATTTATTGCGGTGATAACTATTTAGATAAATAAGTAGATTGCAAGATGACAAACAGTTGAATGTTTGTTGCCGCTTTTAAATAACTTTGGAGCCTTCTAGTTTGGTATCTGAGCTGTGCTCCGAGGCCTTGTTTCAGTTTCTTCCTTGACCTCCCTGCACCTACCAACATCCCAAGAATAAAGAAAAGGAGAAGAGACGACGGCATGAGGGATCACATGACCGGCTGCGCCCGGAGTGAAGGATACTACAAGATCGACAAGAAGGACAAGATCAAGTACCTTCAGAGCTCAAAGCTACAGTCAGAGGAGCCGCCGTTCGACACACAGGTGAGGACAGACTGTGGAAACACTTTAGAGGCAATGCGCATGTTAACCTGCTGTGGTTGGACATGTCTAATCCTCCTCCTCTCTGCAGGGGATGAGTATTCCCGCCCAGGTCCACGCCTCCACCAGAGCTGGCTCTGAGCGGCGGTCGGAGCAGCGCCGCCTGCTGTCCTCGTTCGCATGTGACAGCGACCTTCTGAAGTTCAACCAGTTAAAGGTAAGCACTGCAATATGAACTTTACTCCAGTGGGCAGTTTCATTCACTCTAATGTTTAGGTATTGAAAAAAAAAGGAAAGTAAGACAACCTGGCTTCATTGCAATTTAAAAGTGAACTGACACTTTGCTCCTTCCTTCAGTTCCGTAAGAAGAAGATCAGATTCTGCAGGTCAGGCATCCACGACTGGGGTCTGTTTGCTCTGGAGCCCATCGCTGCTGATGAGATGGTGATCGAGTACGTCGGACAGAACATCCGACAGGTGAGAGGCTTGTTTCTAGTGGCTTTTTTGTGGGTACATTAACAATGATTTATTTGTTACAAATGTGCTTCTATTTTTCATCAGTCATAGATCTGCTGATTATTCTAAGATTCAATTTTCATTCTATAAAATGTTGGATAAATTGGTAAAATGCCCATCCTAGTTTCTCAAAGTCAAGGTGGTGTCTTTAAATGTCTTGTTTTATCAGTTGAGAACTCAGTTTAATCGGATATTAACAGAAAAGCAGGAAGTCTTAATATTTCAGCGGCATAAACTGCATTTTCTTACAATTTTCATTAAATATACTATGATAGATTCTCAATAAGTTGGATATTTGTGGATTTAATATTGCAACTCTGACTCGAAACACTTTTTATTAGCCAAAATAAATATTAAGTGTCATTATAAAGCATTCAGACCTTTTTAAACCATCCTTCATTGTCAGGTGATTGCGGACATGCGGGAGAAGCGCTACGAGGAGGAAGGCATCGGGAGCAGCTACATGTTCCGCGTCGACCACGACACCATCATAGATGCGACCAAGTGTGGCAACTTCGCCCGCTTCATCAACCACAGCTGCAATGTAAGAAACATCCCCATCCACAAGCTTTAAAGGGGACCTATCATGCAAAATGCACTTTTTGATGTCTTTTATACATTAATATGTGTCCCCGGTGTGTCTGGGAACTCACAAAGTGTCAGAAAGCAAAACCCTCTCTCTTTTCCTCCGTACCTAAATCTCTAAAAACGGGGGTACAACGGAGCTGATCCAGATTTGCGTCCGATATGACGTAATATCGGAAATATGGACCCACGGCCCTATCAGAAACTTTGCTATCAGAAACAATGATGGACGTGTTTTGGACGTAATATGGTCTTTGTTTACATTAGCAAGCATCGCTAACACTCAGAGCTAACCTGTACTGGAGAGAGTATGTGTAAAAAAGAAAGGAAATCACCTTGTGGTAAACCCGCAAGAGAAAAAGCATTTGAGCTCCATACTGTTTCAGAAAATCACGGCAGCATTTATCTGTATCTCGTAGAATTCTGAGCAGGCATTAGCTCCGCCTTCTCTTTTTTTTTTTTTTCAAGCTAAGGCCCCCGAACCTGCAGTTCTCTAACAAGCCTGAAATAGAGGGATATGAGGGATGTCGAAATACATGATCTGTTTGGTATTTTGAGCAAAACGTGAAATCATAGACATGTTTTTTATATAATTTTATATATCTAAGACTCATAATATATGCCTAACAATAGCATGATAGGAGATCTTTAACAACACAATCATGAAACAATCTAATCTAATGAATGATGTATTTTCTTTCAGCCCAATTGTTACGCAAAGGTCATCACAGTGGAATCTCAAAAGAAGATTGTGATCTACTCCAGGCAGCCCATTAACGTCAACGAGGAGATCACCTACGACTACAAATTCCCCATCGAGGACGAGAAGATCCCCTGTTTGTGTGGGGCGGAGAACTGCAGGGGAACGCTGAATTAACGTCCATGTGAGCTCCATCTTCTCTGTCCTTTTCATTTTGAGGAACTGAAGAGGGAAGGTTTTGTTTTGGAGAAGAAACCTGCAAGTCATTTGTTTCCTCACAGATTAAACTCTAGATTGTTTACGATTTATGGTGCTCTTGAAAATGAAAAACCCATTGTTTTTTTATGTCAAACTTTCTCAAACACTTGCTGGTGCAGCATTTGCTCCTGTGGTACAGTATTCAGCATGACATCCTTCCACATCCAGCCCTGGTTTGTACAGTTTACACTTTATTTTCTTTCTCTCGTTTGTCTCACAAGCTTTACATACACCACACAAGGTACATGGAATCAACAGCACATGTTCAGCTGCTACCTAACACTGTTAAGACGCACAAGCCCACCAGGAGAACTCCTCTTCTGTCTGAGGACCAGGTTGGGCCCCTAAGCAGACGGGATGACCCCCCCCCCAGTTTTCTCGCTCCTACCTCCTCTGCACCAGTTCTCTTGGACAATCCTGCCACAAAATCTGGAATAAATCTGGAATATTTGGATATCATGCCTGCTTTCACCAGCCAATTATGGATCGAGCTGCTTCCTATTAGTTTATGCAAAAACAAGTCAAAGATGACATGCAAAAATGTATTAATGATATTCCAGTGTTTTCCAGTTTTGTTAAGGTAGTTCCCCTCTTGCTTGTTTCTTCAAAGACACTATATGTATGTGTGTGAATGTGTGAGAGAATTTTTCATCATAGCTTAGCGTGTGTGAATGTGAGTGCACTGCCCCCTGTAGGCCGAGTAAAAGGCCGCTCAATCACGCAGAGCAAAAGAAAGAGAATATTTAAGCAATTCCTGTCAACATCCACTAGGAAGCATTTATAAAATACTTCTTAAACTAAGTTTTCAGCTTGTGAAGAAAAAGTTAGTTCTCATTTTAAGTGCCATATGAATGTTTAACCGTCTTTGTTTAACCTGAGCAGGAGGGAGAAGGACATAAAAGTCTTTGCCTGGAGCTGTGTTAACATGCATGTGAGAAGAATTGCTGCCTATTTTTTCATCAACGTTTCATGATGTTTCAGCTGGGATTACCGTCTCATGTCTGTATCCTTTGCAACTACAACACTTATTTCTCCACCAGTGTTCAATGTTTCCTTCGAAACTGAAGTGTTTCTACAACCCAGCAGTGCTCCTGCCGGTACTTTCTTTATAAACTCATTAAGATAAGAAAAAAACTATTTGTGAATGCACTCAAGGCTTGCACTTCTGCTTAGCATCCCCTCAGCCAATCATTTCCCCCTAAAGACCAAGTAAAGTCATTGCTTTTCATTCAGTTTATGGAGAATTTCTTTTTTCACCAGTGATGTTTATATTGTATATGATACTACTTGTACAGAAGATCTAAAGCTTTTTTTTATCTACACAGGGGAAACACTTTTAAGATGCATCTTTCTCTCTTTTTTTTAACAAAGACTGAGTATTTAAAAATATTTTCAGGGATCTGTAAAAGGAATGAGGGTTTAAAAAGGTTGTTTATTTAAAGAAAAAGGTCCACTGTGTACAGGAAAAGTCACCATCTCCCTTTTTGAAAGATTGTTTCTTGTGGAAACGTCTTCATTTTTTGCCTATTTGCTTTGTAATCTGACAAATGTGTAAATACTGTTACTGTGAATACTATATAAATATATATATATTTTTGTTCCCTGGGATTTGCTACTCCGCTCAGAGATCAATGTATCATAATGGTGAGCGATGAGCTGGTAGCAGGAAATTCAGCTTGTGTCAAGCTTTGTTTTTTTTATTTTCTGTTTGTAAATTCTATGAAAAGTTGTTTGCGGTGTGGAGAAAAAACAAAAGGTGCAGAATCGGCATGGGAAGAGGATTGAAGGATCAGCCAGTTTCTCATGTCTATTTATTACACAACAAATGTATGAAAAAGGAAAAGTGGAAATAAAGCATTTTGCATACATCCATTAACAGTGGTTGTTTTTAATGGGCCAAGGAGCAAAAAATGTGTGAGGAACAAACTCGCTATACATGGATTTTATGTATTGGTAGTTGCCAATTTGAAGTAAACCCTGACAGTCAGTGATGTTGATTTTTCATAAATGTAAGGAGGGGTTGAATAAGTCCGGGACTCAACCCTGGCACATAGGCACACTGTAAAAAAAATAATGTTGAAATTAGTTAAGTGTGTCGAAAAATGTGAAAAAAATCATAATATAGTATGTCCATCATTTGGAAAGAAAGTCATAGTATAGTGTGTCGAAAAATGTGAAAAAAGACACAAAAGATGTCCCATATTGTCTAGTGGTTAGGATTCCTGGTTTTCACCCAGGTGTTCCGGGTTCGACTCCCAGTATGGGAACAAGTTTTATAGGGGAAAAATAATCAAAGTATAAGCTGTCCTAAAAAAATTCGACCACTAGTAGAGGGCGGGTCGTAACAATATGTAAGACATTTTTTTTTAAGTCATAGTATAGTGTGAAAAATGTGAAAACAAAACCATGGAATGGTGTATCGAAACATTTGAAAAAAAGTCATGGTATGGTATGTCAATCCTTTTGAAAAAAGTCACAGTATAGTGTGTCGAAAAATTTGACAAAATACACAAAAGACGTCCCATATGGTCTAGCGCAGTGACCACCAACTGGCGGCCCGCGGGCCACTTCCGGCCTGCCAGACATTCTCATCCGGCCCGCACGACGGGGGTGACTGGCGTTGGCGGAGTGGTGACTGCGTTCGCCTCCCACCCATTTTTTTTTTTTTACAATGTCTCGTGAGTAAGGTGAATACCGGAGTCCAACAGAGAGGCAGCAGCTGCGGGTCAGTAGACTGCGTACTGCAAAACCTTCCCTGCCTTGAAGAAGAATTGATCCTTCGTTGTGAAAAGAGTACGCCGCACCACAGCAGTAGCCCCGCTCCAACAGAGTCCAACAGAGGCAGGAGCTGCGGGACAGTAGCCTAGAAGCAGGGTTGGGTTGTAACGGAATACATGTAACGGCGTTACGTAATCAGAATTAAAAAATCAAGTTGGCTAACTGTATTCAGCTGGCGTTACATTTGAAAAACAAGTAATCTGATTACAGTTACTTTCGTAAACCTGAAGTGAATACATTTTGGAATACTTATTGGAATTATTGGTGGAAAATGTTCCTCACAAAATGTAATACACATTACCGGCAGAACTGTGTGCACACTGCACAGCGTTGCAGCACGCAGATGCAGGGTGTCTGTGAGGCCCCGCCCCCGCACGCAGATGAGAGAGATCTCTTTTAAAATATATTGAAAGTTAGAAACGGAGATGGTTAGCTAAAATGTGCTAGATAACGTTTATGTAGCATTTATTTATTGTCGAAATTATGACATTTCATAACGGGATCAAATCAAAGTGAATGGCCTGCTGCTCCTGAATGCATGGGGCAAGTGAATGGAAAAAGTTTTAAAAGTTATTACATCGTTTCAGATAATAATGATAATTCATTCTATTTAGGGGCGCCTTTCAAAGCACCCAAGGACACCTTACAATTCATAACATATTCCAAGGAAAGGTTTTAAGACAGTACAAAGAATGCAGTCCGGGTGATGTTTTTTTATGTGGGGTGCAGATGAGAGGGCTGTCCAGAATGACACCAATATGTTGTGTTTGAGTTCTTGATAAGCCATTAAAACAGTAAAATACGTGTCTCCTGTTCACCAAAACATACCCATCTGTTATGAAAAAAGGAAGTATTCCAAAAGTATTCTAAAAGTTACATTTTTAAGACACGTAACTGTATTCTGATTACTTTCAGAGCATGTATTCAGATTAACTGATTACATTTACAAAGTAACCCTCCCAACCCTGCCTAGAAGTGATCCTTTGTTAGCGTGAAAAGTCTGCTAAGCGTTATGCGGTCCGCAGTACCTGAGCGTGCTCCACTAGCATTGTGGACTATATAAAAATCGCTGGCCCGCGATAGTGTCTATTGCAGGGGTGGCCAACCCGCGGCTCTCGAGACACATGCGGTCTTTGCCTAGTTTCATGCGGCTCTTCAGTTCATATCGAGTTGTAGGCCTATATGTGTGAGTTTGGGGGAGAGACACTGACTCCTGACTAGTGTTGCACGGTGTACCGATACTTGAAAGGTATACCGCGATACCCTGCCGTTAAAAACGTTACGATTCATCCGTTTCATTAGTATCGGTACTTTAAGAATGACGGGGAAAGTACTCCGGTGAGAATGCGCCGTTTTAATAAGAGCCGCCGTGTGTGTTCAGCGCTCTGCTTCCAATCCCTGCACTCAGCCGTGCCTGGAGTCCCGCCCCTCTCAAGCACGCTCAAGTGCCTCCCCTCTCTCGTGCACGCGCTAGCTGCCAGAGCATGAGAAAACGAGAAGCATGGCTGCAAGTGGGAGTGCAACTGCTGCTGCGCCTCGGCTTGTTGACAAAAAAGACGCCAGAAGCGAAATTTTGATGTATTTTAGCTATATCTCTGACAGTGAGGGCAAGCCTACGGACACCACGAGGCCTGTCTGTAAGAAATGTATTATTTGTATTTAATACGAATTCTTGTTATTTATTTTATTTATTGTTCTCATTGTTTAAAAGTTTGTGTTATGTTATGGTTCTGGTGTGAAATAAAGCACACTAATTACATTTAAGACTGTTTCCCTTTTTTTAGAAAAGTATCGAAAAATAATCGGAATCTTAATTCTTGACTTGGTATCGAAACCAAAGTGTTGGTA